CAGAAATGTTCCACACTGAGTCTTTAAAGTGGAACTCAACACAAACTCCACCTACAGTCACAGTTTTGGTGTTTTTTGTTTTGATCTTAGCTTCTTGTTGTAAATCTTGTTTTAGTGTCTGTTTCACACAGTGTGTAGTGTCTGTTTCACACAGTGTGTAGTGTCTGTTTCACACAGTGTATAGTGTCTGTTTCACACAGTGTATAGTGTCTGTTTCACACAGTGTGTCGTTGGTGTAGTGTCTGTTTCACACAGTGTGCAGTGTCTGTTTCACACAGTGTGTAGTGTCTGTTTCACACAGTGTGCAGTGTCTGTTTCACACAGTGTGCAGTGTCTGTTTCACACAGTGTGTCGTTAGTGTAGTGTCTGTTTCACACAGTGTGTCGTTGGTGTAGTGTCTGTTTCACACAGTGTGTTGTTAGTGTAGTATCTGTTTCACACAGTGTGTAGTGTCTGTTTCATACAGTGTGTCGTTGGTGTAGTGTCTGTTTCACACAGTGTGTAGTGTCTGTTTCACACAGTGCGTCGTTAGTGTAGTGTCTGTTTCACACAGTGTGTAGTGTCTGTTTCACACAGTGCGTCATTAGTGTAGTGTCTGTTTCACACAGTGTGTTGTTAGTGTAGTGTCTGTTTCACACAGTGTGTAGTGTCTGTTTCACACAGTGCGTCATTAGTGTAGTGTGTTTCACACAGTGTGTTGTTAGTGTAGTGTCTGTTTCACACAGTGTGTCGTTGGTGTAGTGTCTGTTTCACACAGTGTGTCGTGTGTAGTGTCTGTTTCACACAGTGCGTCGTTAGTGTAGTGTCTATTTCACACAGTAGGTCGTTGGTGTAGTGTCTGTTTCACACAGTGTGTTGTTAGTGTAGTGTCTGTTTCACACAGTGCGTCGTTAGTGTAGTGTCTGTTTCACACAGTGTGTAGTGTCTGTTTCACACACAGTGTGCAGTGTCTGTTTCACACAGTGTGTTGTTAGTGTAGTGTCTGTTTCACACAGTGTGTAGTGTCTGTTTCACACAGTGCGTCGTTAGTGTAGTGTCTGTTTCACACAGTGTGTCATTGGTGTAGTGTCTGTTTCACACAGTGCGTTGTTAGTGTAGTGTCTGTTTCACACAGTGTGTAGTGGTCTTTCTGAGGCGTACGTACCAGCTCTGTGAGGTGGCGTAGTGTCTGTTTCACACAGTGTGTAGTGGTCTTTCTGAGGCGTACGTACCAGCTCTGTGAGGTGGCGTAGTGTCTGTTTCACACAGTGTGTAGTGGTCTTTCTGAGGCGTACGTACCAGCTCTGTGAGGTGGCGTAGTGTCTGTTTCACACAGTGTGTAGTGGTCTTTCTGAGGCGTACGTACCAGCTCTGTGAGGTGGCGTAGTGTCTGTTTCACACAGTGTGTAGTGGTCTTTCTGAGGCGTACGTACCAGCTCTGTGAGGTGGCGTAGTGTCTGTTTCACACAGTGTGTAGTGTCTTTCTGAGGCGTACGTACCAGCTCTGTGAGGTGGCGTAGTGTCTGTTTCACACAGTGTGTAGTGGTCTTTCTGAGGCGTACGTACCAGCTCTGTGAGGTGGCGTAGTGTCTGTTTCACACAGTGTGTAGTGGTCTTTCTGAGGCGTACGTACCAGCTCTGTGAGGTGGCGTAGTGTCTGTTTCACACAGTGTGTAGTGGTCTTTCTGAGGCGTACGTACAGCTTCTGTGAGGTGGCGTAGTGTCTGTTTCACACGTGTGAGTGTCTTTCTGAGGCGTACGTACCAGCTCTGTGAGGTGGCGTAGTGTCTGTTTCACACAGTGTGTAGTGGTCTTTCTGAGGCGTACGTACCAGCTTCTGTGAGGTGGCGTAGTGTCTGTTTCACACAGTGTGTAGTGGTCTTTCTGAGGCGTACGTACAGCTTCTGTGAGGTGGCGTAGTGTCTGTTTCACACAGTGTGTAGTGGTTCTTTCTGAGGCGTACGTACCAGCTCTGTGAGGTGGCGTAGTGTGAGGTGAGGTGGCGTAGTGTCTGTTTCACACAGTGTGTAGTGGTCTTTCTGAGGCGTACGTACCAGCTCTGTGAGGTGGCGTAGTGTCTGTTTCACACAGTGTGTAGTGGTCTTTCTGAGGCGTACGTACCAGCTCTGTGAGGTGGCGTAGTGTCTGTTTCACACAGTGTGTAGTGGTCTTTCTGAGGCGTACGTACCAGCTCTGTGAGGTGGCGTAGTGTCTGTTTCACACAGTGTGTAGTGGTCTTTCTGAGGCGTACGTACCAGCTCTGTGAGGTGGCGTAGTGTCTGTTTCACACAGTGTGTAGTGGTCTTTCTGAGGCGTACGTACCAGCTCTGTGAGGTGGCGTAGTGTCTGTTTCACACAGTGTGTAGTGGTCTTTCTGAGGCGTACGTACCAGCTCTGTGAGGTGGCGTAGTGTCTGTTTCACACAGTGTGTAGTGGTCTTTCTGAGGCGTACGTACCAGCTCTGTGAGGTGGCGTAGTTGTCCAATCTCCTCGGGCAGAGACACCAGTTTGTTGTTACAGG